TGATATTTTCCTCTTCCAGCTGGCCATCTCCTTTGCTGGACAAATCTTGACAAGGAAGCAGAAGATATTGAATCTCCACAGGCTGCTGCAGACGTGATCCGCCGGTGCAAGGAATATGCTAAAAAGTATGAAAATGAGAACCCGGATCAAGAGGTAGTGCTTGTGGAGGAAAGTAGCGGGGAATCCGAAACCATCAGAAATATGGGACTGTGAAACTATTGTCTCTACATATTCAAATCTTGACAACCACCCTGCTAAAATTGCTGCTCCTGGAGGAAGGAGGAAGAAGAAATTAACAGAAACCATATCCGGAGCTCAAAGTGTTGTCAGCCAAATGATAGTTCTAAAGGGCAGAGAAAAGCTTCCTGTGGACTTTTTACCCCAAAGAGAGAAGCATGGCGTAGAAAAGGTGAAAGATAATAAAGATCCAAATAATTCAAGAACAGAACAGCAGAAGAGGAAACCACGCAGTCTAGAGAATAAGGATGAAATGAAAGAGAGAGGTGCAAAATGGTTTTCTTTTCCCCAAGCCGCCGTTATGTTTGACTAGAGGGAGTATGCCATGTCAGCAGGAAGTAACCATTTCAGGATATTGGTGTAGTACATATAGATTTTTCCTTTTCTAGTCGACGACGTTTTGATACTAATAGAAAACGATAGACACGCCATCGTTTGAACTTTGTAGCTTAAAGCTCATCGTGTGGATAGTAATCAAAATTTGTGGTGGGAAAGCCTCTGCAACATATTCAAGCACCTTCAATAGGAAGCCCATTTCTCTATCAAGAAAAGTATGTATATGTGTGTGTATAGCTGAAGATCAAGAACACAATAAGAACAAATAGAAAAAATAAAAACCCTCATTTGTACGCATTTCTATCCAATTGTTCACCAAGGTTTGAGGTGAACACTGATTTTCAGATTGCATTTGTTTGTGGGTTTGCTTGATCTTCAAGGCAATGGCTTCTTCATTACTCAGTGAAGCTAAAAATCTCATGTTCATTAATAGCCGACAATTTGTTGGTTCAACTTATAAATTTCCCATTAAGCAGTGGTATCCAGGCAAAAATTCTTTGAAAATTTCAAGAAATTCAAGAAACAGAGCAGTACCCAAATGCAATTTGTCATCCTCAAGGCCAGTTTCTCAGCCAAGATTCATACAACATAAGCAAAAGGCTTTTTGGTTTTACAGATTCTTGTCAATAGTGTATGACCATTTGATAAATCCAGGGCATTGGACTGAGGACATGAGGGATGATGCACTTGAGCCTGTAGATTTGTACAGTAGGAATTTGACTGTAGTGGATGTGGGTGGGGGTACTGTTGGGAATTTACTTAATCATGCATAGCGAAAATAAAACAATTTT